TTTTAAAGAGAAGTTGTAATATTTTTAACAAACAAATCATATAGAGAGAATATATGAAGAAACTAAAAAAATATAAAAAGTTTGAGATTCAAAACAAACATTCTCTCATAATCCCCTCATTGTCTAGAGGCATTTATATAATTATTTTATATAATTAATTATAAAGCAAACATTTATATAATTATTTTATTTTAATAATTAAAAAATCTTAGTGTAAATAACTTGAAAATTATTAACATGATATTATTTGGTGTTGACGGTACATTGTTTGGTTCTGTAACCTAATTAATGGCTGAATATTGGAAGTAAACACAATGTGTATAACTTTACCATTAAGGAGGAAAGGAGGTTACACAAAATATTGACCAAAAATAGCTTGAATTACTAATGAAAAGCTTTTATTTTCATGAAGTTTTAATGGAAAGATACATGCCCTCTTTTACCATTTCCCAAAAAGCTTTCTTGATTACTAACGAAAAAACAACCATAAGTTTTTATTTCCATGAAGTTACAATGGAAAATACTGACCCAACACACTGAGAGAAAGAAGGAGAGACAAAAATTGGTAACTATACACCACAAGCACAGAGCCAACTAATAAAAAACTTTGGTAATAAAAAATAGAGTCTACTTTAATGTAGTCAACTTGTTCTTCTTCTTAAGTTTACTCAATAGGCATGCCTACCAAACGTTACCAAAGCAATAACAAAAGAAAAAAATAAGAATCAAAGTAATAAACTAACCCAGCCATCAGCAAAACAGAGAGAAATGAGGAGAAACAAAAGCAAAAACAAAAAAAATTACTCTAATGAATAGCCGAAGTGATGTCGCAGCCGGAGTGAACAACGGTGAGAGTGGTCAGAGTGATCCACAGTTGAAGTAAGCTCTGATGAAGGCAAAAGCTGAGAAAGGAAAAAAAAATTCAAGAAGAAGAACATGTTGTATTAGTTAAGATAAAAATGAGAGAATCCTAAATAATAGTCAATTATTCGAATCAATTGTCTTGAACCCAGAAATTAAAGTCACGTTTTCAACTCTATTGAACCCAACACTTAATCTCAACCATGGATATTTATTAGAATTGTTCTGAGTCATTCAAAGAAAATGTGTCTCTTATACATTTTATATATTTTTAAAAACCCTTCTCCCTTATTATATAGATATTTTTATTTTTTTTTATTTTTTATCTTTTTTGAATCACACTACTCTTCTATTTTTTTTTTTACATATTTTCGTAAAAAATTAAAAAATATATTTATTTAGATCATTCCAAACATTTTCAAAGTAATATTTTTTTTAAAAAGAAAAATACTCTAAAAGATCTAAAAGATACAGTCAAATGTTTTAAGAATAATGTTTGAGGGCCCGAATCAATGGCTCGAATTTGGCTCAAAACCCAAAACGACGTCGTTTTGGGTTTTGATTTTTTTTTTTTTCACTTATTTCGGGCTCTCAAACATTTTCCATGTTGTAAATCAAGAGAGAAGAGTCAAGAATGGCCTGCTTGTGATGAGACAGTTGGTCGATAATGACTTGATCTCTCCCACATGAATGCTGTACGTGGAGTGGGTGATGTTTCAAATCAATCAAAACTCTTCGTACTCTATTATGTTCTTTTGTTAAAGAGTTGTTTGGAATGTATAAAATAAGTGTATTTTTTAATTTTTTAAATTAAAAATAAAAGAAAAAAATATAATCATTTAGAATAATATTTTAATTTTTTACAAAAAAAATATATATATATTAAAATATTATATAAAATAATCAAGTTTTTAAACTAGTTTTATTAATTTTGAATTTTGAATTTATATTTTTAATTTTTAGAATTCAGGTATTTTAAAAAGAATAAGAATTTTGCTCAAAAAAAATTCAAAATTCATTTAAATATAATAAATATATTAAATACAAAAAAAATAAAAAATAAAAAATTCAATAAATTTTATACTTTGTTTTGCAAGTTCTCATAATTTGGAGGTTTCTTTCATATGCATTTTGAAAGTTTCTTTACCCTTTATTTATTTATTTATTTATTACATTTTATTATTGAAATAGAATTCTCACTGCCTATCAATTTTAAAACATCAACTATCTAAGAGCCCGAATGGCAACGGCTCAATGGCTCAAAAAACATTTTCCCTATTTTTTTTTTTTTTTTTTCTCTTTCGCCAGAAAGGAGGAAGACGGAAGGCAGGGAGGGGAGGGAGGAAGGAATGGAGGGAGCTAAAAAATGGAGGAGGAGCGGCGGAGGAGGAGCGACGACGCTGCAGACGACGACAGCGAGGCGACGATCGGGCAGAGCCGGCGACATCAGAGCAGGAGCAGCGACGCCGAAGGCGGAGGCGCGCGATCGGCTATCGGCGACGACGACGGCGACGGCCTCTCCCTCTCCCCTCTCCCTCTCCCTCTCTTTCTCTCCTCCCTCTCTCTCGCCTCTGCTCTTAGTTCAACGAAGAAGAAGAAAGAACAGAAAGAACAGGAAGGAAGAAGAAGAAAAAAAAAAAAAAAAAAAATCAAAACCCAAAACGACGTCGTTTTGGGTTTTGAGCCAAAATTCGAGCCATTATTCGGGCCCTCAAACATTATTCTTTAAACAGTTTGACTGTATCTTTAGATCTTTTAGAGTATTTTTCTTTTTAAAAAAATATTACTTTGAAAATGTTTGGAATGATCTAAATAAATATATTTTTTAATTTTTTACGAAAATATGTTAAAAAAAAAATAAGAGAGTAGTGTGGATCAAAAAAGATAAAAAATAAAAAAAAATAAAAATATCTATATAATAAGGGAGAAGGGTTTTTTAAAAAATATATAAAATGTATAAGAGACACATTCTCTTTTGAATGACTCAGAACAATTCTAATAAATATTCCATGGTTGAGATTAAGTGTTGGGTTCAATAGAGTTGAAAACGTGACTTTAATTTCTGGTTCAAGACAATTATTCGAATAATTGACTATTTTACGGATCTCTAGTCATTATCTTAACTAATACAACATGTTCTTCTCTTGAATTTTTTTTCCTTTCTCAGCTTTTGCCTTCATCAGAGCTTACTTCGACCACTCTTCACCGTTTGTTCACTTCGGCTGCGACATCACATTCGGCTACTCGCTATTCATTACAGGAATTTTTTTTTTTTGCTTTTGTTTCTCCTCCTTTCTCTCTATTTGCTGATGCGGGTTAGTTTATTACTTTGGTTCTTATTTTTTCTTTTATTGCTTTGTAACGTTTGTAGTCAATGGACTATTGAGTAAAACTTAAGAAGAAAAACTAAGTTGACTACATTAAAGTGACTCAGTTTTTATTACCAAAGTTTTTATTAGTTGGCTCTGTGCTCATGGTGTTAGGTACAATTTTGTCTCTCCTCTTTCTCTCGTGTGTTGGCAGTATTTCCATTGTAACTTCATGGAAATAAAAGCTTATGGTTAGTGGTGGGCAACTGGTTTAGATCCGAGCCCACACAACCCGCCCAAACCGACTCACCCGCTACCAGCAATCCGACCCTTTCCGATGCATAAATAGAGCGGTGCGGGTTCTATTTTTCCATACAAATCGGTTCGGGTCAGACCCACCTACCCCTTTGCAATCCGCAAACCCGCCCACAATGACCCGCAGCTATTGTTTAAAAGAAAAAAAAAATTGGTATGTCTCTCTCAATTTCATTTTTTTATCCTCCTTTCTCTCTCTACCTAAGCGTCTCTCCTTTCTCTTCATTTGCTATGTTCTCACTCTCTTCATTTCCTCTCTTTCGCTACCTCTTTCATCCCCTCCCTCGCCCATTGCTCTCCTCTCCTCTACCGCCCTGTCGTGTCCTTCTCCATCCCCTCCTCTTCTCCCTGTTGCAGTGCCGCCGTTCACCCAAACCGATCTAACCGAGAGGGCAATTGGAAGATCTATAGCAAAAAAAAAAAATGGAATGTATCCTTCGCCCAATCTTCCTCTCCCATTTAATATGTTTGCAGACTTGTTTTTCGTTGGTTTTTAACTTTTGCTTATTTATTTAATACAAGAAATATGCTTTGGTGTTTGTTTGTTATGGGTTTGCAAAGGTTTGTAACATTTTGCTTTGATTATTAACAAAGAAAATGTTTATTGTTGAATAAAAAAATATAAAAAATTA